ACCAATGGCACCTTCAAAGTCTTTGCTGGGGATAAAAGCACAGGAAAAGAGAATACGGTTATCATCACTAACCACAAGAACCATTTGAGCAACGAAGACAGAGAACATATGGTCCAAGAAGCTGAGAATTACAAAGCTAAAGAGGAGAAGCAGTGGGACAAGGCATCTTTCAAAAATTCACTTAAATTATCTGCAATCAACATAAAAGCAACTGCTGAAGATGAGAAACTTCAAGTTAAGCTCAATGATGAGAATAAACAGATGATTCTTAACAAATGTAATGAAATCATCAACTGGTTTCATAAGAATCAGACTGCAGAGAAGGAAGAATTTGAACATCAGCAGAAAGAGCTGGAGAAAGTCTGCAGCCCTATGATTCCCAAGCTGTCCCAGAGCAGGAGGTAAGCCAGGAGGAATGCCTGGGGCTTCCCTAGTGATGGAGCTCCTCCACCTGGTGGTTCCTTCTCCTGGACCCACCAATGAAGAGGTGGATCACGGCAAACTGATCCACCTCTTAGTTTTTGTTCCATACAAAACATTGAAAGATCCAAATTTGCACCAAATTCCATGGCAGCTTTAAGGATGAGCTGCTATAGTAAGTAACTGGCAATCCCTACACTTGCATATAGAACATGTGCATAGGGACAGGAAATAACCTTGCACTTTCTAGGCACTGCAGTGTAAGGATAAAACACAATGCATTAAATCAAACTGTATTTGAAATTGTCACACAAAACACACACATACACACACACACACACACACACACACACACACACACACACCTCACCTCATTAAAAAAGCACAAACTTTTACTGCATTCAGACAGTTTTGTTGTAAGGATATAGAGCAAAACCATGGAGGTATGTTTCCCTGGGCCTGAGTAGTGTTAATTATGAGAATGGATACTTGAGGGGACACTTTGTTCTGAGCACAGATTACCAAGTGACAATGCTTTCTACATTTTCTTTAATAAATGCATTTTGTATGTAGCTATGATATGTGTGGTCTTTAAAGTGTGGATCCCATCTTTCCCAGATGTTGTAGGTATTATTATTAAACCCATTTATCATATGACAAAACTGGGGCTTCAGTGTATCAGTCAGCATAAAATATAGGAAATAGAAACATCTCTGGAGAGCTCAAGGAGAACAGCATTTAATACACAATTTATTTGTTCACAAATTGATTGGGAGGCCTAGAACATGGAGATAGAAACCTATTTTCTCCATTAACACAGAAAAAGAGAAATTATACACAGATGACATTGGGCTTTGTTTTCAGTGAATAAGTATAGATTTGATTGCTTCTTTGGCTCAATGAAAATGAGGCAGCTGAGAAGACTAGCCGTGAGGTATGGGGTTTGAGAAGAAAGAAAACGTATGAAAGTAGATGTGGAACAATGTTCAAGGAAACTGGTGTGAGTGCCAGTGTTTCAAATCTATTTGCTGATGTTAGTCATTAATTTACAGGTAATCAATCTGCCTAGTTATATGCTCTTTGTTTAGACTTGATGATGTTAACAATTAATTTATAGGCCAAAATCTTCTTAGTTCTATGCTCTTTATGTTCATGAAATTTACCAAGATACATAACTGGTGATCAGTTTCATACTCTAAAGAAGAGAGATAGAAAGCCCTTGTAACATTGGTTTGTGAAATGTAGTGCTTTATTCCCCTCTATGCCGAACACACAGTCCCAGTCCAAGTCCAAAGGCCATCAAAGAATGTACCTCATTTTCATGAAATTCCTCCCCTTTCAATACCTCTGGACATCCTTCCTCTAACCCAGACCACCTCCAGCTCCCAGCCCTGAGCTCCTGAGAGAAACATCTCTAACCAGACCTACCTCAGATCAGGAGAGACCCAGCCTCACAGCAGAGGCAGAGGTAAGTCTGGAGCCCCTGCCTATGGAGGGGGTCAGTCTCCAAGTTGGAGGAGGAGGCAGTTTGAAAAAAGAACCAAGTTAGTGTTCTGTGAAAGGTTCTCCTGCACAGAGGAGGTGTGGATGGAGAGAGCTGTGCTTCTTCACAGGAAAGTGGGATGAAAGAGGTCAGACGAAGGGAAGGGGGGTAGAACTGTAGAGGTTAGGGTCTAGGGTCAAATAATTGTGGTAACTAAAAGGCTTGGGGGCCTGTTTGCCAGGATTCTGAGGTGGGAAATCTCTTCCTAGGTGTTTGCACGCTATTATTAGTCTGTGATGCCTAGATCAGTGGTTTTTAGATACAGTATACATACACCTGAGGGTGTAAAAAGACTGTAAGATACTCAAATAGGAGTGGTGTGAACCCGGTGAATGTGTGTACCCTCAAATCCCATATGGGCTCTTCAAAAATGGTTGGAGAGGCTTATTTTCTATTCCAACTCTCAAAGTTGTGTTTCTTTTACTTTAAAAAGCAAGGGGAGGGTTGGGGGGGATGTAAGAGATCAACTGAAGGACTTGTATGCATGCATATAAGCACAACCAACAGAGGCAAGACACTGCGGGTTGGGGGTGGAGAGTGAGGGCAAGTGACAGGGGCATAGGGGAAGCCGGGGGAAGATCAATGGAGAAGAAAAGGGAGACATATGTACTACTATTTGTAATACCTTAAACAATAAAAAATTTTACAAAGCAAGGTGTAGCCTTCCCCTCTTCTCCTCCTTCCCTCTTTCTCTTTAGCTTTCTTTCCTTTCCCTTCCTGAACAACCCAATCTTAAACTGTTTGGATAAGGCAGAGTAAAGTCAACATTTGTTCTGGCAGTGTAGTGAGGACTGGATGTGCTGGTAGTTGAGTGTGGCTCTTCCACAAAATACCACGTGCGGGCGCACACGTACAGTGCGATTGAAACTTCGTGGCCCATGCGCAGAAGTAGGGATTTTGTGGAAGAGCCACACTCCAGGGGACAAAGAGCCACATGCAGCTCATGAGCCACAGTTTGCTGACCACATGCCAGAGCCCACACAAGGTAAGGAGACATCCGTGTGGCGGGAGTGCCCAGCATAGTGCTGGAGAGGGTTGAGGGGGGCATTCATGTAGGAGAAAGCATATAAACAGAGCTGAGAACTTGGCCTCACACACAGGGGTTGATTAAAAATATAAATATATTAAGGTTCAAGAGCCAGTATTCTCACTTTCAGAGAAGAAAGTTACAAATACTGAAGGGTGTGTGGACCTAAAATGAAATCACTAGCTGGTGATTTCAGTGTAGCCTGAGGAAGTAGCCACGATGGACCAAGTGAAGTGTCTGAAGAAATTTACCAAGAACATCAGACAGATCTAGCAAAGATTGAGTGACAGCTGGTAAAGTACTCAAAACACGTGCTCTTAGAAAGTAAGACCCCATAAGTAGAGCTGGGGTGCTGCCACTTGAGAGTTGCCTGAGAGGACCCCTAACGGCCACATCATCCTCCAGGTCCCCCGAGTCTTCGAACAGTAAGAAGTCTTGTTCCTGCTTTCCTTTTTGCAAAACCATTTCCTTTGTTTCCACCATAAATACATCATGTGTGGTATAAGTATAAGGGAACTATTGGAAAAGTTGTACTGGGCACTTTAATTTTGCAGTGAGTTTCTATAACGAAATTTTGGTCAAGACATAGCTCTGTGAAGAGCTTGGCACTAACAGCCTGGAACTCTTTGCTAAGATCCTCCCCACTTTTCTCTATCAGGTCTCTCAACAGATTCTTAGGTCTCCACAGTGTCTCCTCCCTGCCATTAGTGGAAAGCAGGCTCTGCCCTGGTGGGGGAAGGGGACACAATAACTTTCTCTTGCCCACATGAGATAGTTGCCACAAAATTTTGTCCCTAACCTGTCATTTCCTACACTTTCAAGAGATTAGGAAACAGGACCCCACTTAGTTGAAGGTACCAGGTACCAGTACAGATACCAGTAGGCCTTCAGGTTTCATCTTTAAACATGCCTTATACCAATTTTCCCACCAGTAGCATCCTTCAGATGGCTTTGCAAGATGAGAAGCAAATGGGAAGAGCAACTTCTGTCAACCTCTGTTTGGTGATAGTGACTACACACTCTGCTTGATCGACTGCCTAGATTTAGTCTTCAGCCAACTGCACTGAATGCTGCTGCCCTTCAGGAAAAGGACCCCATAGAGCAACAGGAAGAGCTCAAAGTTTAGCTGCAAAAGGAGCCAATATGTGATCCTACCTGGGGCAGATTGGAGGCCAGGGAGGAGTTCCTGGTAGACCTCAAAGCAGCAACACCCAAACTCTGTCTTAATTAAATCGAATGGTGTTTTTTTTTAATCTATATACAGTAGATACGTGCAAACTAGTTGCATAGTGATTATCTTAACATTGCATGCACATTCTACAAAGTAAAACTCCTTATTTTTACTCCAAAGTAATAATTCAATTGGATTTTAAATCCATTCCAATTTTTACAAGACACTTCAACATTACATTTGTGAATGAAAAAAAAAAAAGAAAAAGCTGTGAGGTTCTTTAAGTACAATTTAAATGAATGGGATTGGAAAAGATTTAAAAATTAGTATCACCTACTTATGCAAGTGAACTAGCTCGCCATGGTGACTATTATAATGAAATTGAAGCCCCACCAGTGTTGCTCAGTGGTTAAGCATTGACCTATGAACCAGGAGGTCAAGGTTCAATTCCCAGTCAGGGCACATGCCTGGGTTGTGATCTTGATCCCTGGGGAGGAGTTGGGGCTGGGGTATGCAAGAGGCAGTCCATGAATGATTCTGTCTCACCATCGATGTTTCTATCTGTCTCTCATTTCTTCTCTGAAATTAAGTTTTTTAAAATCTTTAAAAAAAAGAAATTGAAGGAATCATTATTGATAATTATAATTGCATATTGATAATTATCTGTAGTCATTTCAAGTATATAATCAGAAATCAACAAGTATATAATCAGAAATCAAGTATATAATCAGAATTCAAGCAAAAATTATAAAAATTTAAGATTTTATGTGTATTCCTTCTAAAGATATCTTATATAATAAAGAACTAATATGCAAATGGTCATCACATCCTTGCACCCTGGTGCCTGGCCTGGGGACCTGAGGCTGTGCCCCCCACCCAGCACTGGACTAGGTGACCTGAGGCTGTGCCCCCTGCCCTGTGGGGCTTGATAGGGGTGGGGCCAGCGGGGTCTAGGTCTCACCCAATTTCAAGGCATGTGCAGGTGGGCAGGAACTTGACTCTGGGTCCCTTTGCATGCCCCAGACTCTGACAGGAGGGAGATTTCAATATCCATTTTACTAATTTTCTTTCATCTCTAACATTTCTATTATAGAGAAAGAGCAAATAGCAATATTAAAATATTTCCTCTAATTAATTCCCTTATAATGTGAACAAATTTTGTGCACCAGGCCACTAGTATTTAACATATTTGTTTAAATTTCTATTACATTTTTCTTATATAATTGTATAATATAGAAAAAATGTCATTTTCCCCCATGAAGCCCATATAGCCTAATCCTCTTGCAGTTTACTACAGTGTGCCCAACAAATAACATCATGTTCTCTGTGTGCCATGACATTAAAAAGGTTGAGAAATGCTGCCTAGTCCACGGAGAGGTAATATATGCTCCATCTCTGCAGTTGCTTCCATGATCCTTAAGACCCTGCACAATTATATACCACATGTCTCTACCAGCTCAGGATCCATTCCCCCACATATAAAGTGTATTTCCGCTCTGACTAGAGAGAACATGACATTTGGGATGTCTTCCCCTCCATGCTCTGGGCCAACCCTTCCTAGACACTCTCTGAGCAGCAAGATCTCTGAGCCCTTGGCCCTGGACAGCAAACTTCACAGACATGGCCACCAAATTGTAGTGGTTGTTGAGGTGTTACAGCCTCTGCCTCACTTCCACTACTAATTTACATCTTTTGAAAAAGGGCACCAGAAGCCTTACTTGGCCAGGCTCGGGGAGGGAGTGATGCTGGAAAATACAGAAGCCACCTGCTTTTTCTGTTGGTCTAAGGCAGAGGGGCCCCTAAGCTCCTGGTTCCTCTAGAAACAGGGTCCTGACCCTGGATCACCAGACATTATGTACAGAAGATATACATGTGGGAGTGAGTCATCAGCATGTAGAAGAGAGCTGGAGCCATTACATTACAAATAATTTCATAGGGAGAATATATAAAGTGAGATTTTTTTTAAAAAGGATCCAGGACATGGCCCTGGGGGAGGAGCAGTTAAGCTGTGGGGTGAGGAAGAGAAGCCAGCCAAGGAGGCTGAGTGGGAACAGACAGAAATGCATAGGGAACTGAGAGACTGGAAGTGTGAGTGCCCTGAGTAGTCCTGAAAATCAAGGGTCCCAAAATTTGTAGAAAAAGGAGCAAGAATCTTACCCTGCCCCTCACCATAGTTTCATAGATAAGATGTGCCCAATACCTGCCTAGGAGTGAGATTTCTTCATTCCCTCCTTTTTCTTCCCCTTAAGTCTCAGAGTTCTCTTTTTATCTCTCCCCTCATTACAGTGTTTCCCTCCTTTTCCAATGAGTCATCAGCACAACGCCTTGGGCTCACCCTGCCTCAGTCACCTGAGGAGGCAGCAAGTCTCTCCAATTCATTGTGGCAGCCTCATCTCACTCAACCTCTGCCTCCAGATGCTCATAATGGGTGCAGGTAGGAATCCTTACATGAGTCCCAGATTCTCTGTTATGTCAGGGAAAGGAAAAAGGAAAAGAGAGGGGAGCTGGAAGAAAAAGTTTGACATAAATACAACTGTTATGAGATCCTGGCAAAAAGTAGAGGGGTTAACTTTATCCACTTACTAAGTGCCAGCCAGTGTACTAGGCATTTCATTTGTATTTCCTGGTCTAGGCATCCTGGTGAGTGTGTGTGTGTGTGTGTGTGTGTGTGTGTGTGTGTGTGTGTGTGAGTGTTTAGGTCAGAAAAGATGCAGCAACTATTTAAGACATTGTTCTCAGGACTTGGTTAAGATGGAAACAACCAATAATATAGTCAACACCACCTCATCTGCCACCCCTTCAACCCTGACTCCATCTCTGTTCTCTTTTCAGGAGCATTGCAAGTCCAGGGGCCCCATAAACCCATGGTGGCCATGTTGGGTGGTGAAGCTAAGCTGCCCTGCTTCCTGTTGCCTCCTCAAAATGTTAAAAATATGAAAATCAGCTGGACCAGATCCCTACCCTCCCAGGTGGTGCACCTGTATGAGGATGGGAGGGACAAGCCTGAGGAAGCCATGAAGGAGTATTTTAAGAGGACAAAGCTTGTGGAAAGTGTCATGCATAAGGGGATCGTGGTCCTGAGAATCCTCACTGTTCAACCCTCTGACAATGGACAATATCGCTGTGTGATCCAAAATGGCTCCTTCTACAGTGATACAATGATTGAGCTTAAAGTGGCAGGTAATGGCCCACTTTCACCCCCAGGGGTAAGTCTAGGGCGTTGATCCAGTTTTCCTGGGAAATATTTAAAAAGTCATAGGAGAAAGGGAGATGGCCTTTACATCTACGCACCCCATTATTCCATATATCACTGCTGGGGATGAATTGAAAAATAAAGAGACTCATAGTGGGAGTCAAGAAATAGGCAGGGACCATTTGTGTTGCACTGTGATGGACTCCCCTCTCACCCAGGAGTCCAGGTTCCCCCTCCTTTGTTGCCAAGACTTCTTCAGAGCCTCACTTTCCTGTTCTGCACATTGAGGTCTAGTCAGCAGCACAAACTCTTCATAAGAAGGAAAGGGATATATGTACAGAAAAATGAGCTTAGGAACTGACTTCTCTCTCCTCCTCTTGCCAGCTCTCGGCTCACATCCTCAGTTACTTGTGGAAGTCACTAAGTCCGGACAACTCCGATTAGAGTGCAAGTCAGAGGGCTGGTTCCCTCAGCCAAAGGTCCAGTGGATGGACTCTGAAACTTAGCTTAAAACAACAGACATATGTTATTTGAGTTCCTGAGGGTTCAGGCATTCAGGAGTAGTATATTATATTAATTAGGTGATGTAGCTCAGGTCTCTTATGAGGCTGCAGTCAAGGTGTCGGCTGGGGCTTGCTCAGGACTGGAGGGTTCACTTCCAAGCTGGCTCACTCATATGGCTGTTGGTGGGAGGCCTATGAACCCTTCTGTGGTAATACTTGAATCTATAATAATAAAAGCATAATATGCTAATTAGACCAGACGTCCTTCTGGACGTCCTTCCGTCCTTCTGGACGAAGCCAGGGCTGCGAGGGAAGCTGGGGTCCTGGGTGCCTGCCAGCGGCTGGAGGGAAGCCCAGGTCTTGGGTGCCAGAGGGTAGCCGGTGCTGGCAGCCGGGGTAAGGAAGGCCTACTCTTGCATGAATTTCGTGCATTGGGCCTTAGTATTCTCATAATATGGCAGCTATTTTCTCTCAGAGTGAGTGATTCAAGAGAGTAAGACTCAGCCCTGGAAGTCACACATTGTCATTTCTGCAATATCTTATTTGTTATGCAGGTCAACTCATTCAGTGTGGGAGGGGGCTATGCATGATCATGAATACCAGGAAGCAGAGCTCATTGAGGCTATTCTGAAGGATGGCTATTTGCTACTCTCATGCTCCCTCTAGAAAACACTCCCACATACTCTTTCAATCTCCTTTCCCTTTCCAGCTGGCTAAAATGAAATGACTCCCAGAGTAACTTGGGAGCCACACATTGAAGGTAGTAGTGCTTCCATCAGCCTGGGTCCTGAGTGACTGTATGGAGAATACCCTGTTCATCTGTTTACCTGCTGAGTACTGGTAAGTGAACAAGACAAAGTTCTACTGCATTTGAGCCATTGTACAGTTTCAGGTCAATTTGGTTTGGTAGTTAGTCCTTGCTAACTAGTATAATTCTCATGTAGTGAACTTTTACAATGTCCAATACTGAAGCAAAGTCAAGTACTACAGAGTGTTGAGGGAATGAGTGATTATATTACATTCCTTTATCCTGTGTCACTTTTTCTTATGCTTGTTAAAACTTTTCAACAAGTTTCATTTGAGTGCCTACCATGTGTCAGGCTTTTTTTTTTTTTTTAGCAGCTAGGGGCACAGCTGTAACAACAAAACACAAAGTCCCTGCTTCACAGAACTCACATTTTAAAGGAATATCTAGTGGATGCCTCTTGAAGAATGTACCAAACAAGTTTGCTAATGTTATTATCTAGGGCAGCAGTTCTCAACCTGTGGGCCGCGACCCCATTGGCGGTCGAATGATCCTTTCATATGGGTCGCCTAAGACCATCCTGCATATCAGATATTTACATTACGATTCATAACAGTAGCAACATTACAGTTATGAAGTAGCAACAAAAATAATTTTATGGTTGGGTCACAACATGAGGAACTGTATTTAAAGGGCCAGAAGGTTGAGAACCACTGTCTAAGGCAGTGATGGCGAACCTATGACACGCGTGTCAGAGGTGACACGCGAACTCATTTTTTTGGTTGATTTTTCTTTGTTAAATGGCATTTAAATATATAAAATAAATATCAAAAATATAGGTCTTTGTTTTACTATGGTTGCAAATATCAAAAAATTTCTGTATGTGACACAGCACCAGAGTTAAGTTAGGGTTTTTCAAAATGCTGGCACGCCGAGCTCAAAAGGTTCGCCATCACTGCTCTAAACAAAAGTAGGTCTAGGATGTACACCTCATTTGCTGAACGATTTGTTAGAAAAAAGCTTGTAGCTTTTGATCTCCAAGGTATGCCTCTCATGCTCAGTAAGGATATTTTTGCTAGTGCTTCCTGCTATTTCCAGTGCATGGTCTTCATTCCCCACACCTCTCTTCACTCTCTCCCACATGGCTGCTATGTGATCATAGCTTATTTTAGCAGCCTTTGAACCTATTTTAAAGTATGGGGTTTACAGTTTTCTTTTTATTTGTTTTTTTTTATGCTGGTGCTTTATTTCCAGGCAAAGAAGAGTAACACACTGACTTAGGCAGCCATAGCCATATTGGGTTTCTAAAGTTTTTTAGTTTAAATCAGATGTGGGACAATTCTATATAATGACATGTCCATTAATGGTCATAAGAGCAAATGGAAAAAAGTGGAGTCAAGTGAAGACTTAGTTCATTTGCTCTCTTTTTAACTCTCTCTCTTTTTCTCTCACTGAGCTTTGGGTGCACTGGATTCGACCAATTCCTCAAAGGCAACTAGTTTTGTCTTACATTGGGCCTCCACACTTGCTAACTCTTCTAACTGGAACAACCTAGTCTGGCTTTCTTATTCTTTTTTATTTTTAATCTTTATTGTTGATATTATTATATATGTCCCTTTGTTTTTCCCCATTAACCCCAGGTAGCCTCCCCACCTCTCACCCCCGCCCCTCCCATCCCTGGTCACTACAACATGATTGTATATGTCCATGGGCTATGCATATATATGTATACAAGTCCTTTGGTCCATCTCTTCCCACTGACCCACTCACCCACTCCTTCCCTCTAAAATTTGACAATATGGGATAAACCAAGATGGCGGCATAGGTAAACACCGGAAATTGCTGCCTCGCACAACCACTTCAAAAATACAACTAAAAGATAAAAAGACATCATCCAGAACCACAGGAAGGCTGGCTGAGTGAAATTCTACAACTAGAAGGAAAGAGAAAAGCATACCGAGACTCAGAGGAGGTGCACACGGAAAGGGCTGGTGGCTGAGGACACTGTTGTCTTTTTCAATCGGGAGGGAGTCTCAAGCTCCCGACTGCTCTGAACTCCAGTTCCAGGCGAGTTTCTGGGGACCCAGACTCATAAGGGGAGAGGCTAGACTGCTTGGCATCAGTTGGACCTCGAGGGCGGCTTTCTCTCAGAGGTGCTTGCAGCGATTACTGGGACACTGAGAAGCGGGGCCTCTTAGGAAAGGACTGAGGATCAGCCATAGCTGCTTGCTCCAGCTTGTTGATCCCCTGGGACCCCTCTCTGCCCCAGCTGTGCGCTGGCTTTTGCATATGAAAGGAGTGGCCCTTTACAATCTGAAAATTACCTAACCAACTGCAGCTCGACAAGGCCCCACAGCACCTTGCATTCCTTCACAGCTGAGCTCCCTCTGGGTAGCCTGAGGCAGAGGCTAAATTAGCACCTCCTTAGTGATCCAAGAGCCAGTGTGCCCAGTGGTCAGAGTGGGACCATCCAGATTACAACTCCTCAGATCCATAAGGGACACA